CTTGAGCCACAGGCGCCTAGCCTGTTGGATTTCTCAATGGCCAGAGATGCACAAGAGTGGGGAGAGCAGTCTAGCAAGAGAATGAAGGTAGGTAGAGATTTTTTTTTTTTAGACAGAGTCTCACTATGTCACCCTCAGTAGAGTGCTGTAGTGTCAGAGCTCACAGCAACCTCAAACTCTTGGGCTTACTGGATTCTCTTGCCTCATCCTCTCAAGTAGCTGGGATTACAGGTGCCCACCATAACACCTGGCTATTTTTTTGTTGTAGTTGTCATTGTTGTTTAGCAGACCCGGGCCGGGTTCAAACCCACCAGCCCTGGTATATGTGGCTAGCACCCTAACCACTGAGCTACAGGTGCTAAGCCAGGTAGAAAGATTTTATGCCTTAGTGAAAACTATGAGTTAGGGTGGCGCCTGTGGCTCAAAGTAGTAGGGCGCCAGCCCCATATGCCAGAGGTGGTGGGTTCAAACCCAACCCTGGCCAACAACTACAAAAAAAAAAAAAAAAAAAAGAAAGAAAGAAAGAAAGAAAACTATGAGTTAATAATTTTTTTATTATTTTGCTATAAAGACCAACCATTTTTACTGAGATGAGCAAGGAAACTCATACATACTAGCAGATTTGGACACTGGAGATAATAAATCAATCCCTTATATCAGAGACTGGCAGGGAAAAGGAATGACACACTCAAATTGGGTAATCTGAGGAGTGTTTTTAAAAGGCACAATTGAGAAAGGGCACAGTAGAAGGAAACCACAAGTGATAGTGAGTAGCCCAGTGGGGAACCAATATAGGCTAAGCTTAAAAGGGCACAGGAGAGAAGCAATTCCAGAAAACTGAAGATAGACAGGGTTGCCACCAAGACAGCCCACAATATCCTCGATTCTGTAGGGATAGATCCCAAGGAATGGCTACCTCAACCTCACCCTTCTCATTCTTATTCTCCGCTGGGGCTCCCCATTCATCAGATGAGAACAGAAGCCAGAGGGAGAGGAAGCCTGTTGGTACCATCCAAACAGGTCAGCTGCCAGGGGCAGAGGAGGTGGAGAAAGGTGGAGAGCAGGTCTAGAGGGACCAAAAGAAGATATCTGGCACTTAGCATAGGAAAAACTTCTATACTCTATATGCTCACAGTCTTCACCACAGCCCTTCGAGGTAAGTAGGGCAAAAATTATAATGTAATCTCACACACTGAGGACACGGAGCCTCAGAGAGGTGAAACGACCTGTCCAAGGATATAGGACTGATCTTGAGATGTCAAGTCTAGGCCTTTTCTGCAAGGACGCCAGTGGGAAAAAATGACTCTGTCTTGGAGAAAGTCCCAGTCCAGAGTCTTGGAGAAGACTGGAGGTTCATCAGGCAAAGTTCTTCAGGCAAGGTGACCCTGGACCTCAGAAGATATCCGTGCGAAGAGGAAGAGGCTGTTCCATACCACTGATGAGAAGCCTGGGTTCTTGGGACAGCGTGGAGGAACTGGGCGCCACTGGGATGCCCATGCTGTCCACAGGAACCTCCTCCTTCTCCTCCTGCCGCAGGTGCTGGAGAATCTCCTGTGACAGTGAAAAGTTGCTTCCCTCTACAGGTTAGGAGCAGGGGGTAGAGAAGAGTGGGGTGAAGACCTTAAATATTCCCACTTGAATACACCCAGAGGATTCTCTACCCTTTCTACCCTCTTCCTATCTATCCCCAAACCTCTGGAGCTAGAGTTTCATGGGATCCTAGACCTAGAAGTGGTTTTAGAGAAAATGGAATTCCATCCTCTTGTTTTTAAAGATGATGCTGTGAGAAGGGCAGAGACCTGCCCAAGGTCACATAGTGAAGGAATGGCAGCGCTGAGGCTGCAGCCTTGGTCTCTTGTGCCTGGACTGGCTTGGGACTCTTCTGCTTCATCTGGCATCCCTAAAATGAAGTGAGGGGCCTCTAAGGCCCACTTCTGCAGGCTCCACCCAGAGTCTACAGCCAAGGACCATAGAAAGAAATCTAGTGTCTGGGTGTAGAAAGGAAACATTTCCTAGGGAATGAAGAGGCAGCGCTTAAATGCCCTGACCTCTGGGAAGGCCCAAGGCATGGTACTACCATATCTCCTTCTGACCCTCTGGGAAACTCCAGGACCTCTGACTTCTCCTGTCTTCTGCTTATCAACCCCTCACCCTGGTAGACAATGAGGCGACAGTTGTTCCGACACTCAGGAGCATCTGTTAGGATATCCTCAAGCGTCCGGCAGAAGAGTTTAGCCTGCTCGAGTCGATCCTCCCGGCTAAAGCCAGCTCGGCCGTCCTGTGACATGGCAAACAAGGTCTGCAAAGGTGTGGCGAACTCCAAGACACACGTGCCTACCTGGAGGAGATGAGAGGAAGAGTAGACTAAGTCACAGGCCAGACAGATAGACTGGATCCCAGTGCCCTTGGCTGAGGCAAAGATGGAGTCCTGGAAGGTGGCTCCCCAATGGCAACGTTGCTGTCTGGTCTGCCTTTGCCTCTGATACCTCACTCTGAAATCAGGGCCAGGGCTGCGCCAAATTTATCCTTCGAGTATCCTCTTCCTTTTTTTTTCTTCCAACTTTCCTTGTGTTGCCTATCACCTGATGCAGATCCTCTTCCTAAGATCCCAGGGCAAGGCCCACAGAGCTAGGCTGTCAACTACTTCAGCTGGGTTCCTCTGCACCCACATGAAATCCCTTGGATAATCTCATAGCCTGCATCTAGGGCAGCTTTATGGGCAGGAGTATGGCACACTCGAGTTGAAAGCATCCATTTCCCCTCATGTTTCTGAGCCTCAGTTTCCTCCTCTGTAAGGTAGGAATCATAATAGACCCTACCCCACAGGGTAGTGGTGACAATTCATGCAGTGATCAGATGATGCACCCAAAATAGTGTCTGGCATGGGATAAGCACTCAATAAATGCTACTTATCATTATCATTCAGAGGTGAATCTTGCCCAGCCCTGGGACCAAATGGGGAAACAGGCTTGGAGAAGGGTGATGAATTTTCATCCAAGACACAGGGTTATGGAGGGGCCTGATTCCTCCTAGGGTCCCCAGTTCCCTGCATACTCACTGGCTGCCCATTCTCCAAAATCTCATAGACACTGTTATTATAAATCCGACCCTTGATGCCAGCACGGTCAGTACTATGCTGGGGCAGCATATGAAGGAAGCGAATGTTGGGGTCGGCCACACTCAGATCATCAGGCACCCCACAATCCAATGGAAAGAGGATGTACAGACGCCGGCTCCGTGTGCCTTGTAGCATGTTGTTGTGGAGCTGATTGTAAGTTCGGATCCGCAACTGGAGCCCTGGGGTAGGGAAGAAGTCATTACCTTATTTTTTTTTTTTTTTGAGATGGAGTTTTACTATGTTGCCCTTAGCAGAGTGCCATGGCATCACAGCTCACAGCAACCTCCAACTCTTGGGCTTAAGCAATTCTCTTGCTTCAGTCTCCGAAGTATCTGGGACTACAGGCACCTGCCACAATGCCCAGCTATTTTTTGGTTGTAGTTGTCATTGTTGTTTGGCAGACCCAGGCTGGGTTTGAACACCCCAGCTCCGCTGTATGGAGCTGGCGTCCTAACCTCTGAGCTACAGGCGCTGAGCCAGAAGTCATTATCTTTAAACTGCCTCCTATCTAATTCAGGATTGAGGTGCAGTCATTGGCCCCCTCAGTGTGAGTGCAAGAGAACAGAGGGTCTAGTCCACGCTCATTGTATAAGAGGCCAGGAGGGGCAAAGGATCCAAGAACCCTTCCTACTCCTCCTCCTACTCCAGCATCCTTCCCCCACTTCTCCTTTTTCCAGATTTATGTGTCAATCCCACTCCTTCTCACCACAGCTTTCAGAGCTCTGAGGAGCAGGCTGAGCTCTGGAAGGTAACATTCCCAGTATTCCTAGGGGTACAGAACTAGGCCTCTAGCTTCAGAATGGTCTCATCTCCTAGCAGAAGCCCTTGTATCAAGGGAAGATAGCAATGAGATGTGGGAGAGGATTTGCAGCTTTAGCCTGTAGGTCAGAGGAATGAGACACATAGGCTCCACAGTACAGTGATCAGGGATTCAGGGTCTGGACAGACCAGCGCGCAAATCCTTTCCCCTCCTCCTCTCCCTAAGCCATGTGACATTGGACAAGTTACCTGATCCCTCAGAACTAAACTTTTTTTTTAATCTATAAAATAGAGATGATGGCTGAAAGATTTGGGAGGCTGAGGCAGGAGGACCACTTAAGACCAGGAGTTTGAGACCAGCCTAAGCAAAATAACAAGACCCAATCTCTACAAAAAAATGTAAAAATTAGCCAGATGTGGTAGTGCATGCCTGTAGTCCCAACTACTTAGGAGGCTGAGGTAGGAGGATCACTTGTGCCCAGGAATTCAAGGCTGCAGTAAGCTATGATTGTACCACTACACTCCAGCCTGGGTAGCAAAGCAAGACTCTGTCTCTAAAAAATTAATTAATAAAATAAAATAGGGGGGAGGTACACTAGCTTACACTTGTAATCCTAGCACTTTAGAAGGCCAAGGTGGAAGGATTGCCTGAGGTCTGAAATTCAAGACCAGCCTGAGCAAGAGCAAAACCCCATCTCTACCAAAAATATAAAAATTAGCCAGGAGTAGTGGCACATGCCTGTAGTCCCAGCTACTTGGGAGGCTGAGGCAGGAGGATCACTTGAACCCAGGAGTTTATGGTTGCTATGAACTATGATGACACCACTGCACTCTAGCAGAAACAACAGAGCCAGACCCTATCTCTCAAAAATAAAAATGATAATAAAATAAAATAAGGATGATGATTATTATTTCCTCATAGAGTATGAATTAAAAGAGAAAATGCAAGTCCAGGCATGGTGGCTCATGCCTATAATCCCAACACTCTGGGAGGCCAAGGTGAGTGGATTGCCTGAGCTCACGAGTTCAAGACCAGCCTGAGCCAAAGTAAGACCTCATCTCCAAAATAGTCAGGCGTTGTAGCGGGCAACTATAGTCCCAGATATTTGGGAGTCTGAAGCAAGAGAATTGCTTGAGTCCAAGAGTTTTTCGTTTTTTTTTTTTTTTTGAGACAGAGCCTCAAGCTGTCCCCCTGGGTAGAATGCCGTGGCATCATAGCTCACAGCAACC